TTTCAAGAAGGGAACTCCCCAGCCTGTATGTATGCTGTGGATTCCTTCTCCCAAGGTGCAGCACCCTGCATTTGTCTATGTTGAACCCCATCCTATTCTCGTCTGCCCACTTTTGTAGTCTGTCTAAATCTAGTTGCAGCCTCTCTCTCCCTTCAAGTGTGTCCACCTCGCCCCACATCTTAGTGTCATCAGCAAATTTGGACAGCGTGCTTTCCACCCCCTTGTCCAAGTCGCTGATGAAGATGTTAAACAGTGCGGACCCGAGGATCAAGCCCTAGGGTATCCCACTGCTCACATCTCACCAGGTTGAGTACAACCTGTCCACCACTACTCTCTGGGTACGCCCCATCAGCCAATTTTTTTACCCATCCAACTGTGTAGGCATCAATGCCACAGTCGCTTAATTTATTGATGAGGATGGGGTGAGAGACAGTGTCAAAGGCCTTTTTAAAGTCTAGAAAGACTATGTCCACAGCGACACCATCATCCAAGGATTTAGTTACTTGGTCGTAAAAGGCAATCAGGTTGGTCAGGTAGGACCTGCCTTTGATGAACCCATGCTGATTGCCTCTGAGCATGATCTCCCTTGCTGGCTCCCCACAGATGTGCTCCTTGATGATTCTCTCCAAGATCTTCCCGAGCACTGAGGTGAGGCTTACAGGCCTATAGTTACTTGGGTCCTCCTTCCCCACCTTTCTTGAAAACTGGGACCACATTAGCCAGTTACCAATCCCCTGGCGCCTGGCCAGATGACCACGAATGCTCATACAGCCGGGCCTAGGGCTCCATGATGACCCGTGCCAGCTCCCTCAACACCCTTGAGTGGAGGGCATCTGGACCTGCAAATTTAGAAATGTCTAGCCCTTCCAGAAGATCCCTAACTACAGTCTGTCAGGCCTTCAGTCTGCGCTGACTGAAGGCCTGACAGAGCTATCCCCAAGATTGTCCCTACCTCTAGTAGGTGGAATATCCCGGTCCCTGTTCAAGAAAACAGAGGCAAAGAAAGTGTTAAAAATATCAGCTTTCTTGTCTGGCGTAGCCACAAGATTACCATTTGCATCTTGCAGGGGCCCTACATTGCCTGGTGCCCTCTTTTTGCTCCCAGTGTACTTGGAAAAAGGACTTTTTGTTGTCCGTAATCCTGGACGCTAGCCTGAGTTCCATCTCTGCCTTGGCCTTCCTAATAGCCCTCCTATACTCCCGGGCTGAGGAGGAGTACTCCTCCTTGGTGATACCTCCTCCCTTCCGCTGGTTGTACACCCCTCTTTTAGTCCTCCGGCATTTTGAATTTTTGTAAAGAATACTCCAAAATCCCTTAAGAGTTCTTTTCAGTTTCTTATATTAGAAATATAATCAAGGGCAAATCTGGATTTTTCTGGGAATCCTTTTATGATTTCATGAGTTCAACTCCTAGATGACAGATAAAAAAAATTCTTTAACCTCCACCTATCTTAAGAAATCAAAAAGGGCACAACCTAATTTTTCCTTCATAAGACTCTAGAATTTTCTCGCTGTAGAAGTGAAATGTTTTGTTAATATGTTCAGTGAGCTCCTGTTGCTTGTATTTCCTTATTTTATCTTCTTAAAAGTATATACTGTTTTCTCACATGCCATACATACCTTGTCTTGAGAAGACAGAAGGAAGAAGAAAAGATTTTTCTTGAGTCCTGGCTGAGTCCTGACCACAGAGCTAAAGTCCATGTGACTTTCTAGAAAAGCAGTCACACCAAAAATAGAGTTTTAACCCCTTCACAGTCACTGCCAAACTGGCAGCAGCTTTTGGCTACTCAGCTGAAAGCTACTACCAATTTAGCCACATCTATGAAAGGATTAACACCAGTTCTGACTCTGAACAGGTAAACTCTGCCCCTGTCTCCCTGAAGCTGGCAGGGAAAGAAGCACAGCATCCATTATAGCTGCCAACTATGCCTCCATACCTCTGTTCAGCACAGAAAACAAGTTTTTCTACTTAAAACATGCTTCCCAGTTTTGGAGAGCTGATTGGGGAAAAGGTATATGCAGTGTGTGAGTGAATATGGTAATTGCTGTAACTGTGATAAAATACAAAAAATTCTTCCCCCACCCCTCCCCCTTATGTTTCTCTCTAGTCCAGTAACCACAGCAGTCATCCAGGGAGGAACACTAAGAAAAGGCTGTTTCCTAATTGCTGGAAAAAGCTGGGCAAAAGTGCGCCTGATGTATGATGAAAATGGCCAAACAATGGCTGTTGCCACTCCTGGGTTGCCAGTGGAAATCATGGGCTGGAAGGAAATCCCATCAGCAGGAGATGAAATTCTTGAAGTAGAATCTGAGGTACAGTAAGGAGTACTCAATGGACAGCTTATGCTACAATATGAAGTATAGGGCAAACTTGGTACAAAACAGTAAATGAATCATAATAACTTAAGGCAGTCTGACTACTACCTTAAACCAGTGGTTGGAGGCCAAGGTACTACATGTGGCCCAAAATTTGGTTATCCATAAAAATAATAGTGAAATTGCTGGAATATTCTCTCTCTCTTCCCTCTTTCTCCCACCACTTGCAGTGCTTAACTCCTTATTCTTCTCAATACATCTAGATTGAGCTCTTGTACAGTTGAATGATGAAAACCTGCCTGTCCAAGGTATGGAAGGTTAATGTTTGGTCTCATTATTCCTCCCAATTCTTGCGATCATCCTGTCTGACTGCAGGTGGCATCCTTTAAGATGTTACTTTGGGATAAATTACCACTTTCATCCTGAATGCCTGTCAGATAACTTTTAAGTTTTGTTTTTTATTCTTTAACATATCACAATGACTTTACTCCCAAACAGTCTAGACTAGGAATGGTGTGGCAATTCTTAATTGTTTTTGTTTTGTCTTTTTTTAGAATGAGAAAACTAGTTTAAAATGTAAGCATCAGTGGGCATCAGCTATGCTGATGTAGGCTCTACCAGAGTTATTGCAGATGGATGCAGTTTGGATCATTAGAGCAGTAACATATTTCTTAGGAGTTCAGTCCCTCTTCTGGCTCCTCTGCAAGGGTATTAAGTATCTTATCTCGTCCTTCCCTTTAGAGAGATTGTGATCATATCTTATGAATTGATCATTTTATATTTTTCAAATGCTTGCAGGACTGTTTGTACTTTTGGATGAGCAGGTCTGCCCTCCATTTTTTCTGCACCTGTTAAATGGAATGACCCATTGTGGGGGGTGCAGTAGTTGTTTCCCAGCAGCTTTCACCTTTTATTTCTAAATAAAAATACCCACCTCCAAGGTTTATGGAGGTTTTTGTTTTTTCCCCCCCCCATTAACCTATCAACTGTTATGTCTGCCATAGGGAGGAAGATGTAGAGAGTTACTGGGATATCTGTTCTTTGTAGGGGTGCACTGATAAAGATTTTTTTTTTTGGCTGGCACCGATGGCTGATTATTAACCAGCCCTATTGGCTGATACCAATCCAACTGCCAACATACAGCCCAGCAAGTTTGAGAGCAATAGTTTCATGGTTAGTAGGGTTGGAAGGGACGTGAGCAGAACATCAAGTCCGACCCCCTGCCTTGGGCAGGAAAGAATGCTGGGGTCAAACGACCCTGGCAAAGTGTCTGTCTAGCCTCTTTTTGAAGACCCCAAGGGTAGGAGCGAGCACCACTTCCCTTGGAAGTTGGTTCCAGATCCTAGCCACCCTGAGTGTAAAGTAGTGCCTCCTGATATCTAGCCTGAATCTACTCTCAGTCAACTTATGGCCGTTATTCCTTGTTACTCCCAGTAGTGGTCAGGGGGAACAGGAACTCTCCTATTGCTTGCTGGTCCCCCTTGGCCAGTTTATAGATAGCCACCAGATCCCCTCTCAGCCTTCTCTTGTGGAGGCTGAACAGGTTCAGGTCTCGTAGCCTCTTTGTAGGGCCTGACCTGCTGACCCCTGATCATGCAAGTGGCCTTCCTCTGGACCCTCTCTATGTTGCCCACATCCCTCCTGAAGTGCAGCGCCCAGAACTGTATACAGTACTCCAACTGCGGCCTGACCAATGTCATATAGAGGGGGAGGATCGCCTCCTTGGACCTGCTCGTGATGCATCTGTGGATGTATGACAAGGTGTGGTTAGCCTTCCTGACTGCGTCCCCACATTGGCGGCCCATGTTCATCTTAAAATCTATAATGACTACAAGATCCTTTTCTGCCTCTGCTGACAAGAGGGGAGTTCCCCAGCCTGTAGTTATGCTGCTGGTTCTTTCTCCCTAGGTGCAGTATCCTGCATTTGTCAGTATTGAATCCCATCTTATTATCATCTGCCCACCCCGTAACCTGTCCAAATCCAATTGCAGCCTGTCCCTCCCTTCTAGTGTGCCCACTTCTCCCCACACCTTAGTGTCATCTGCGAATTTGAACAAGGTGCTTTTCAGCCCCTTGTCCAAATCACCAATGAACATGTTGAACAGCGCGGGCCCGAGGACTGAGCCCTGGGGGACCCCACTGCCCACATCCCTCCAGGGCGAAAATGACCCGTCCACCACCACTCTCTGGGTGCGGCCCTTCAGCCAATTGGCGACCCATCTGACTGTGTAGGCATTGACACCACAGTCACCTTATTTTTTTAATGAGAATGGGGCGAGAGTGTGTCGAAGACCTTCCTAAAGTCCAGGAAGACTATGTCCACTGCGACACCTGCGTCCAAGAATTTTGTGATCTGGTCACAGAAAGCCACCAGGTTGGTTTGACAGGACCTGCCTCTAATGTATCCGTGTTGGTTGCCCCTAAGCATACAATCCCCTGCTTTTCTCTCGCAGATGTGCACCTGGATAATTTTCTCAAAGAGCTTCCCCAGGACCAAGGTAAAACTAACAGGCCTATAATTTCCTGGGTCCTCCTTCCTCCCTTTTTTGGTACATCACAGCTGGTAAGTTTGGGGGGGGATGTTGGGGGTGCAGATAGAGGGCACACAGAATATGATTACTTTAGAGGGTCACCAGTTGTCTTCTGTGTAAAAATGGCTGTGAAGTAATTTTTAGAAAATAAATTAAGCAGAGTTAAAGCCAGAGCAATCCCACTGATAACTGACTATAAAAGCCTTTTAAGGTGGCTCTTCCTGCTTCTATGTACTGGCTGTTAACAGTGTGGCTTCTCTTTCTGCCTAGCAAATAGCACGCAACGTAGTGGATTGGAGAAACTATGCTGAACAGCAGGAGAAAATCAAACAGGATATAGAAGTTATTGAAGCAAAGCGGAAGAAACACAGAGATGAATACGAGAAGCAGCAGGAGATGTTCGACGGTCTGAGTTGGAGAATGAGAAAACGAGCACAATATGAAGCCGGTAAAGATGTATGGTTTTTGAGACCAAAGGAGCGTGAGGAGAGTGACAGGAATGTACTGCCCATAATTGTTAAAGGTATGTTTGGATACTGTTGACTTTGCCATTGTTCCAGTGCACATTTTTCAGCTGTCGTATTTAAACCTGTTGCCACGTTGTGTTCCTTTCCAGATATTTGCCCACGCAGATTCCACTTTTTGCACATGCATGTCCAAGCCTTGATTCTGCTGAATAATCATGTACATTGGGTGTCCTGTGCATATGGGACACTCTTGTGTTCCCCACAGCTGATAATAGGAGAGGACACTAGCAATGAGAGCTCTGAGGTAGAACCCTATAATGTCCACATCCCATGTTCCAAATGAGTTAACTGATGTAGTTAGGGTCCGTTATTAGCTTGTTTGGGTAGATAAGCTTTTCTTCTGTTTGCTCAGAAAATCTGAACTCTAATGTTGGTGGTATTGTGGATAAGCAGAGTTTTTATTAATAATGGTGATGCATGGAGGCAGGAGGAATTGGACAAGCAGGGCTGGAAGAGACCTTGAGAGGTCATTTAGCTCAACCCCCTGCCTGAGGCAGAAAAGATCTTGTGGCTTGTAGGGACCCCAAACCCACAACCTTGGCATGTTGGAGCTCAGTTCGTTATTCACATCCCATGCTGCGTGTGCACGATTGACCATGTTGGCAAACTCAATTTTCAGTCCATATTTGGTTAAAGACCTCAAACATGGAACTTTCCTGTGCTGTGTTTGAGACATTTGTTGGAAGAGACTACCACACTTTAAAGGTTTTATAATTTTCAGAAGTGTAATCTTTATGTTAAAATGAGAATGCTGTAGGCATTGCATCATGTTATTGATGTTTTATATTTTCTAGAATTGTCATATAGCATCATTTGTCTTTATTTGGTTATTGTTTTGTTGTTCAGATGCTTTACAAAGCCAATAATACAACCACCTTTGCTATATGTAGGTGATGTGGATGGTTCTGTTGAAACTCTTCTAAACATTCTGGATGGTTATAATGCTAAAGATGAATGTGAGTTGGATATACTCCATTTTGGAATAGGGGATATCAATCAAAATGACATAAATTTGGCTGAACCCTTTAAGGGTAAGTGTTTATTCACATATTGTTACAGTTTTGTGAAATCTTTAATTAAGTGAGCTGTGGGGCCAAGCTTGACTTTTATTTTCATTGTGTAATCCTTAATAGTACTATCAGTATAAGTCTGTACTAAGTATAAGAATGTTTTTGTGTTACTTCCCCATAAAATAAGCACTAGTGGAAATGGGGATCGGGATAGAAATCTAGTGAAAAAGGAAATTAACTGAATGATGTGTTGACATAACTTGTATTGTCAAGTGTTGTGGACAGTATCTACAAACTGTGACTCCCTCCTTCCCTTACTTGTCTTGTTTCACAATGATCCAGTGAGGCAAAGAAACCATAAATCTTGTTTAACCTGGTCCCAGATGATTTGTTTTAAATAGGGATGATTTGAATAGCATAATGGTTCCTATGCCATTCCCTTCCTGCCATAGCAGGCATGGCTAGCATGCCCTATGTCTTTTTATTCCCAGCTGTTGGGAATAAGCCATAGGTTGCTGGGTATGAATTAGAACAGCCTTCAAGCTGCTCTGATTAACACTAGGAATCAAACTACTCTTCTGCCCAGCTCCAAAATTAAGGATTTCTTTTCCATCCTGATCCTTACTGTAGCTTAATGCTCAATTAGGTTATAAGATCTGACCAGCTGTCTGTACAAGAGCTACCTTTAATTGATGGTTACAAAATAATATTATTTAGCAGGGTTTTCTATTGATCCCTATTTTTACAGTAAGAGGGCAGGATTACAGGTGTTGATGTACATGCTATGTAGTCCAGCATTTGATCTCTAATAAACAGGTGTGGAGAAGTTAAAATGGGGGAAACTAAATAGAGCTCATTCTGCTATTAGTAATGTTGCTTGTAGTAGCAGCTGTTAAGTACAGATTGTTCCAAAAAGAAAAAATATTCCAGGACAGACAGTTTTCTCTGCATGTTTTCCTTTACTTCTTGAAAGCAAAAAAAAGCTCTATGATTTACAGTATTTATATTGAATTATCTGCTCTGATGGTCTCTTCTGGCAGGGATCATATATGGATTCTGTGTGAATGCAGATAGCTCTACTCAGAAGTTGGCTGCTAAAAAGGGGATTAAAATTAAACTCCATAATATTATCTACAAACTTATTGAAGACTTGAAAGAGGAGTTGAGTAGAAGATTGCCTTTGGCTGTGCATGAACTTGAAATAGGTAAGTTGATTGCATGGTAAATCTTGTAGCATCTTATGGATGGCGCTAGGAAGAATGTTTTGATACTGAGTTCAGCATTGCTTTAAACTGAGACATTGGAAAAAACACATGGATCTTACTTTGCATGATGGCTTTCTCTTTATACTTTAGTGTCTTCTGCATCTCATTTTGTCTGTCTTAATTGCAGCAGCAGAATGCTCAGATGATTACAAGCTAATGAAAGAGCCCACTATGCCACTAATTAGTGTTATCAAATTTATTCCCTTGTGCTCAGTACTTCCATTTTTTTTTCTGTAGGGGAGGCGTCTGTTCTTGCTATATTCTATGGCACAGTCAAAAAAAATAAGAACGTTCCAGTGGCTGGTTGCAGAGTGCAGGAGGGACAGTTAAATCGAAAAATGAAGTTTAAAGTAATCCGTAATGGTGATGTTATTTGGAAAGGTAAGGAAAACTGCTTTGGAAAGACTCATGAGAGCCTATAATCTAACATGCATCTCTAATGTCTTCACCAGATAGAATTAGTGTTTTGAGCCCAAACTCTGTCCTTGAATACACACAACCCTTTGAAGTTAATGTAAAATGTATATATGTATATGATAAGAGAATTTGCCCCTTAAAGTTGTTCAGTCAGTTTAATGCACTTGCTTAAGCCATGCATGCAGAATTGGCTTTGGCCAGCCCTTTCCGTGATGCATATTTCTAGTGCTCTTTCCCCATGCCGACTCCCTGTTACAAAGCGGTATAGGAAGGCAGTAGCATCCAGAGATCAGGTGTTAGCTAAGTTAAGTTGTTTGAAGGGAGCAATGCCTGAAGTAAAGTGTAGGTGTTTGGCATCCCTAAAAATCAGAACATTTTCACATTGGCCTCTTCATTTGCTATACAAAAAAAGGGATATGGGAACTTATTCATATTCTGGGAAACGTGAGCCTTAGATCTGTTTTTCTAGTATTGACATACATTCTCTCCATAGGACTCTCAACATCACTGAAGCATTTTAAAGATGATGTCCAGGTAGTAAAAGCTGGCATGGAGTGTGGCCTCAGTTTGGACCAGTACACAGATATCAAGATTGGAGATCAAATTATCTGCTACGAAGAAAAAGAAGTTAAAGAATCAATTTCTTGGGATCCAGGATTTTAAATAATTGTACTTTAGTACAAGGGACTCATGGCCTGGCATTATTTTAGGCCACCTTGCTGAAACTTTTAATATTAAAAATTATTCTGAAAGGGGCTTCTTTTGTGAGAGTTCATTGAATTTTCAGCCAGGACACCAAATTCTGAATCCAAAATCAAAAGTTTGTGTTTTAGGCAACAGTGGTGTTCTTTGCTTCTGCAGTTGTGTGCCAGCTCTATAACCCCATAACTAGTTGTAGAAAAATGTTGAGTGACATGGCAGTGTTAACTCCTTGGTGAAGGATATGGATTGCTGTCATGTTTCATTTAGAAATGGAAGATATCAGAAAGGGGCAGAATGTTTATGGTCTTTCTGTTTGACAGCCAGGTTGAGTTTAGCAGTTGATAAAAATGGGTCTTTCTGTCATAAAATGTTACCTTAAAAGAATAAAAAGGGAGACAGATGGTATTGGAAGGGATTACTGTCACTGTCTCAGCCTGCTGTGGGATTTTATACCTCTTTGATGAAATTCAACCTTCATTTTCTGCAGCCTAATTCACAGAATTTCATCTAGAATTTGAGACTTCTTAGACTGGGGTGGTCTAATTGGAGGAAGAGGAGTAAGACAGCGAAGTTCCAGTCCCAGTTTTGGTGTGGATTAAAATTTGAAATGTGTGCCTCTAAACTGCTTTATGCCAGTTTCCCAATCTGTAAAACTAGGATAATACCAACAACTTCTCATATGTTGCGGTTTAATGTTTGCGAAGTGCTTGGAGGTCCTGGTGTAAAAGTCCCACTGTCATGGCTAATTATCACAGGTAAAGTAATATTACTACCACCGTGTATTGTTTTGTATGTGTTTTAATGCTGTTCTGAGATTGCTACCCGAGATCTTTCTTTAGTTCTCCTATAAAACAGTGCCTTTGTATGACAGGTACTCCGTGTACAGGCTGAAGTAATTGCAGAGCCATTGGCTATTATTCCCTTTGAGAACTCATGGAGGTTGGTTATCATCCCGGATTACTGAAGAAAGGTAAATGTGGTACATGTCTAGAAGGAAAGGAAGAAGATCCAGTGAATGACAGACCAGTCTGCCTGACCTCAATACCTGGAAAGATTAGGAAGCATATTATCAAAGAATCTATTTCTTAAACACCTGGAGGGAGAACAAGGTGATCAAAAACAGCCAGCATGGATCCATCAAGAGCAAGGCATGTCTGATAAACTTTAATTCTTTGTGTGACAAGGTAATGGGCTCTGTGGGGAAAACAGGGCATTGTGTAAGACAATGGTTCCAAACGGGGTTGCAACGTCAGTGGATAGGGTCACAGGGGCAGGGGGCTGTGGATTGGGAGTGAGGGGGCCATGCTGAGGAAATGGAGCCATAAATGGGGTCATGCTGAGGAAAAGTTTGGGAAGCACCGGCATAAGAGTTTGGTACAAGAGAACAGTGGATAGGGTATATGGCTTTTGACACTCTCTCATGATGTTCTCCTTTAGTAAGCAAAGGAAATATAGTTGAGATGAAAGTGGTGTGAAGTGTGTACAAAACTGGTTGGACCACTGGGCGAACGATTAAGGCTGTGTGAAACAGCACCGTTTCGTTTAGACTTCCGTTTCACTGGGACAGTGTTTCGTTTCGAGTTTTTAGTTTCATTTTGAAACCACTGTTCTGTTTCATTTCTTTAAAAATGTTTTGCTGTTTCAATGTTTTGCCCGTAGGCTATAATGGGGAAGCATGTAACTGCCTATAACCTTGTAATTTCCTGCCTGATTTGGATGAAACTTGCAGGCATGGTAGCCCCGACTGAGGCCATGAAGCCTGCCAGCTTTCAAGGAGATAGGTGTAGGGGTTTCTGGGAAACTACACCTCAGGCTGCTGACAAGCAAAACTCGTGACATGTGTGACTTTGTGTGTTAAGGCATGCCCTCATTGGCACTGGGGCCTCTACACAACATGGTAGCGCGCCCCAATGAGGTCTCCTCCTCCCCTACAGCCTCAGGCTGGTCCACCATTTTAAATGACAATAGGTAAAATAATAACTTGGTGAACAGGAGCACAGTAGCACCAGCAGTATCTCAGGCAGCCAAACTGACAGGGCCTTTCTTTTCTCTCCTGCAGGAGCTTCTTCTCCAGCAGCTGCCAGAGAACTCCCCCTGCCAGCCCCAGCCCTGGGGCTTAGATGTGCCCAGGGCCATGTGTCCTTCCTGTCAGGTGGTAGGGGTGTTGGTCTAAGGACATGGCACTGGCAGACAAGGTCCTTTAGGTCAATCTAATTTGGTATCTTTTAGCAGACCAACTGAATAGTTACCAAAATATATCCTAGCAAGCTTTCAAGTTGAAAAAGCCTTTGTCAGGCTGAGGAAGCACCTGCAGTTGGTGGCTCTGTGTGTGTGTGTGTGTGTGTGTGTGTGTGTGTGTGTGTGTGTGTGTACGTGTGCGCGCACGCTGTTCCTGGATGGAAGGAACAGTAAAGAAGCCAGAGGCTGGCATGCCATGCAGGCAAGAAAGCCAGTCAATGGAAATGGAGGTGTCAGGGGGTGGGGGGGGAAAGGGATATGTAGCAGCGCAGGTAAAAGTGGAGAGGTACCTGGGGAGTCAGCTGTCTGGCAGGCTGTAGTGTGTCAGAATTCCACTATATTGAGTCCATGAGTTTCTGTACCTAGGAGGCTGATGAAGTTCAGTTCATAGGCTCATGTGTGAAAAGTCTCTGCACATGGACTCTCAAACAGAACAATATTGAAGCATTTTTCATTGCAGATTTCTATCCATGGTAGTGATACTGCTATTGTCTGGGATCTCTGGAGGGAAAGTCCATGTAAGAGCTGAGGATTATCATTTTTAACATCGGTCTACAGTGACCAAAATGTTTCATGGCATTCTCTCTTGCAGGAGTGGACTGAAAAATCTTGCTTGCCATTGTTGTCCCCTTGTTCCTCCTCCTTCTCCTTCCTGCCAGTGCTTTCTCTATCAACTGTTTGTGCAAAGAAGCTGCTAAAAGTGTGAAGAGACCTCAAGCTTTGGTATGAAAAGATTGGGGATGATGGGGGTCCAATCCCGCTGCTAAGCCCCTGCAAGTCTTCCTATAGCAAAGGTGGGCAGGGAAGCAAATATCCTTGGAACTTAGAATGGGCGAGCCAGTCAGATAGGATGCTCCAGCGTACTCCATGCCCTTTGCATTGCTGGAACAGTGGGCTGCTTTGCTCAGAAAGGAGCCTCTTTGCGCTGGGCACTCTGCATATATGTAAATTAGCATAACTCCACTGTAGCCTGCTGGGGCTCCGTTACCAATAGGTCCATGATCAGAGTCATTCTCTAGGGCTGTGATGCTGGCATGTTGCACACTCATTGCCTTGGCTTTAAAAAACATCAATCAAAGAAGTAAACATCCCTCTAACCTACAAATCTCATTCTCCACTAGGTTGTTTTTTTTCCTATCTAAGGCCTCTGCCATTGGTTCTCAATAAGAAGCCTAGTGAGGAAGAATTCTTCAGGGAAGAGCTGGAATCACAGAAGAGGAGGAACAATCCCTCAGCAAGAAATAACATATCACCAGCAATTTCTCTCCTTTCCTTGTCGGAGGAGAAGGACGACAGTAGTTTCACACCCTAAATTGAAATGCCTCAGTTCCCAAAGAGAGACCCGAACTGCCACGTGTCCAGTGCAAGTCAGAAAGGGTTGGATTCCAGCTCTGAATCGGGAGTCTCTCAGCTGGACAGAGGATCTGTGCCCAACCTTGCAGGGTGTGGGTTCTCTCATTTTTGTCTGGAGGGAGACTGAGGAGGACACCTCGGGGTTCTGAGACAGCGAGAAAACCTCCCATTTGGAAAGCTTCTCCTTGGGAGACTAGATAGCCAACAGAAGGATATGAGCAGTGTAATGTGGATGTGGACAGGTGCCAACAAGAGGCCTTCCTTTAGGTCACTGTGCTGACAGAGGGTCTTCGTTTTAACCCTTCCTCTGAGGACCCACATACCCCTACAAGGGGCCACCTTTACCCTGACACAGAGAGGCTTCCCTTCCCTGAGCACATAGCTTGCTTGAAAGTATGAGTCGCTGAGGACTCCAGTGAGCTCCCTCCCCAGGACATTGGCCTTCAGACTTTACAGTTTGCAGAGGACAAGGACATTTCAAGTGACTGACAGACTTTCCAGCCACACACTCAGCAGAAGGAGCACTGCCTCCAGCCACCATGCTCAGGGAGACTTTTAAAGCTGGGACATGGGGAAAGCATGGGACCATGAAGGAAAAAACTACCAGAAGCTTAAATTCCAGGGCTATCAGCAGGTGCGTTATATGTCAAGAAACTGATGGCATCACACGGAAGAATGAAGGGACAAGCATTTGTCAGCCTATACCTGTTTGTGCATCGCTGCCCAGACAGGTAGCTTCTATTAATGTCTGTCCTATCGGGTGCTACAGCTCCAATTGCAAAAAAGGTGTGCTTTCACTGCAGGTAGCTAACACCCATTCACCATCCTGCCGCAGAAACCCTGTGGCCATAAGTCACTGCAATTTTACTGCTGGACAAATAGGACAAACTCAGACATGGGTGGTGACGATCTCACACCTCTCCCTTGCAGCAAACACTGCAGGCGCCTTGCCATCCAATAAGAATGTATGGTGAGATATGGATTTGTGTGTTAATTATCTCTCTGTAAAAACACTGGTGTATCAGGAAAAGCAGAGTCTGAAACAACCAGCCCATGCTGGCAACGTTTCAGTCATGTGGTTTGGGACCCAAGCTGATCCACCACCAGTTGCTCACCCGGGGTCATAAAGTTATTCCCCCTCACCTCATGGGGGGCAAAAGTAAAGGTTGAAATTTGTCTCCTTCACGGACATTTTGCCATGTTTGTTTTGTGTGAAATTGGGAGAAACTCATGGTCACCCTGTGTCAGAACAGAGGGGAAAAATCAAGGCCAAAAATATAGGTTGTGTTTATTTTTGTTATTTTTTTCATAGATGTTAGGGGCTAGAAGGGACCTTACAAGATCATCAGGTCCAGCCCCCCTGCACTTAGGCAGGAAAGACTGCTTTATTTTGGTTTGTATAAAAATACACATGTTGGAGGTGAAATTCGTTTTGCTGAGCAGAGCAGCTCAGTGCTGCTATGGATTGATTGATAACTGCATGTTTGTATTTGCCTACCCAGCCCAACTGAGGGCATCGCTACACACCTGGGAAACCTGTTGCCTTGGTCTGAGTGATATTCTTAGTGAACTCCATCTCCTGTCTCTTCTCCCCGGACACTATTTGCTGTCAGTGGCTGCAGTTCTTAGGATGGGTGGGTCTGGATCCTGCCCATCCCTCTGAGCAAAGTCAAAACTTCGCTAAACTACATCAGTACGGGGGGCAGGTAATAGGCCAAGTGGCTGATGGTGAGACCTTACACTTTTACTTATATTTCCAGGTCAAAGGAACTGGTTGCCGTTTTATTCCAATAAAGAAAGTAAGGACACTACTAAATAAGCAATGAAAACTATTAAATAGGAGAGAAATGCCAGTAGCATATGTGTAGGATATATTGCCTTTGGTGGGAGTTCTTGCCTGCCTTTGACACCCACCCCCGCCCCCGTTTGCAAGGAGGGAAGGACAGCAGGGTAGTAATGGAAGCCTTTAAAGCTCACCTCCTTCCGAGGACTGGGAGATCCAAAGGGCAGATCAGATGAGCTGGCTAACTGCATGCAAAGCCTTTCATTATTCCGTATCACTGTACCTCATGTCTTTTATGACTAGAGCCAGCAACAAGGCTCTGAATGAGATTGGCACTCCAGAGTATTGTTTCACATCAGTCCCAAGGCGGGACTGACATCTGTCCCCAGAGGTCTGTGTAAAGTGAACCAAGAACCTTTAATCCAGATACCAAACCAGACTTCCTTCCTTCCTTTGACCCCAAACACCAAACCAGGCTTTCTTCCTCCTTTAAATCTGAAGAGAGAGCATGAGCTAAGAGGAAAATGCACATGGAAGACATCCCATTTCTTTATAGAAGGAGTTAAGATGATGGCCTAGTTTTCAGAGGGGCTGAGCACCTGCAGCAGGAGTGAAAGGGGGATGTCCGTTTCTGAAGTTCAAGCCAGAAGCATGCAATAATTGGGGGGAAACTGCTGCACATGCCGTATGCCTGACCGGCCACTAGCTGGCACTATTTTAGAAGACTGATGTTTGTACTCAACACCTTGTAAGATGCTGCACAGCCAGCCTTAATAGAATGGCAAACTATGGCATAACTTCCCTGATATGGAATTGAGACAACGCACCTAAGATCACAGACCTTGCTTTTGCTAAGTTCAGAGAGAAGTACTCATGCAGATAGCCCTGTGCAGAGCAGGTATCAGTCTCTCACTGTGTTTTGAAGGAACCAAAGAGCCTGATTAAGCCAGATGCTGTATTAACGTGAAAAATATAACAGTTCCACCATCTTGTACAATTCCTCCAATCACTTATTTATTTTACTTGTCTTGCGTGTCCTCCAGTGTACGCAGGCACATGCTGCACTTAATCACACCTGTTCATTTAGCAGTACGCACAACCATTCTAGTATCATTGGGAAAAGCTCCCTCCCCCTCCATAAATTACAGGTATCTCAGGAAAAGCAAGAGCGAACCCTCTGCAGTGAGAGTTTGACACAGCAGGGGTCTCTAAGAAGGGACTCAAAGTCTCAGTTCAGTTCCCTGCACCAGCACATGTCTTCTAGGCCCACCACTTACTCTCTTTTTGCCTCACTATCCTCATCTGCTAATTGAGAACAGTGATCATAGTCAGTCTGATAGGTTGTGTATGAGCTAAATAACTAATGTTTACAGGATATGGCAGTGACGTGGGAGGGAAACAAGATCACCTTTATATATAGATTTTCTACTTCATGAGATATTTG